GTCGGTGGTGCCGAAAAGCGAGTCTAGAAAGCTGTCCAATACCACAAAAACGTAGATGGATTCAAATGTGTGCGAATAAAAGCAAGACGCCACGAAGGCCATCATGGAGGCTCACCCATCACTGGCCATTGTCGTGGATCGGGAGGCAACCAAGAGGTCGTCTCGCTGTCGTGTCTGAGTCGAACACACTGCGCGCGCATGCCAGAGCATTTACCTCGAGCTCGCGAGCATTGCGATTCGAGAAAGAAGCTCGTGATCCCGACGTGCTGTTGCGATACCACCTATTAGTGGCGAGATTAGAGTGCCTTCATACACACGCGCGCTTTTGCCCTAGGCGAGATGTTTTGGTAGCGCCCTCATTTGGTTTCCTTCCGTGACGTGATTACTTTGCGAACAATACGTTCGATGGTGTTTGTAATTAGCATTGCGGAAGCCTGAAATTATTGCGCTTTGAAACCGACACTACCAACACAGCAAAGGATGAGAAATCCTTTGCCGACGTCATAGTCAGCATTCGGCCAATCGTGGAAGGCCGGCCACAGCGATGCTTTCGATGGCGCACGTCGTCAACAGAAGAGAATGTTTGCACCTTTCCTGCCAGCATCACGGCAAACGCGTCTCGCAGCGTCACAATGCGCCGAGAAACTGAGGGAGAGGAGGAGACGAGAGGGGTCGGTAAAAAGCCGAACTCTGATTAGACTGATTAGTGGGTAGACCGAAAGCTAGCAGGATTTGTCTCCACTGCACTTGTCGAACGCGTTCGAATGCGAGAGCCGAATACCAGACGCCGGCGTTCCGCGTTCCAACGCGTTCGACGAGTGCAGTGGAGACAAAGGCAGCTAGCCAAGACGGACGCGTCTGCCGCTGTACTCTCGTTGAGCTTCAGCATGCTTTTCGCTTGGAGCGGGCAGCGTATCCACACGCGATGACCTCATGTTCGGGCCTTATCTTCTAGTTGGTACTGGCCCCGTAGCGATGGGCAGCGTGAAGAGAACTATGCCTCGTTTCAGCTTAAAACGGTCATGATACAATTTTCCTACTTCTTCCTCCTTAGCTTTAATCCTCAACTTAAATGTGAATTGTGAATTCACGTCGTCGTGACATTTTTCGGCACCGGTGCGATGACTCCTAGCTCCCACCGTGCTTTTTATGAACACCATAGAGCTTGTCATTCCCCAGTGATCATAAGTTCCGTCTGGGCACTTATGGGGCCACGAACGCGAATCGAATATTGGACGACGGATTTATTGTTGACGAGCGCGTACGTCCGGGTAACGCAGTTCTCGTGTCCAATATGTGAACTGGGCTCGACTGACGTCAGGTTGGCACCGCTGACGCGCTTTGGGAACCGCGAATGTACCATAGTGAAAAGGCGGAGAGCTTTCGAAGGAAGGAAGCTACAAAATAGTCCGCTATATTTTCAAATGTTCGTACCGAAAGCTGGCTTTTGACTTTCTACCCTCTTTCTTTTGGCCAACTAAACGATATGCGATTAATAAAGTCCCAATTTAAAATCATTTATCCCCTCCCAAAATTCGTTTCATCGCCCCTTTAAAGGGGTATTCACACGAGGGAGAAATCCCGGGGATTTCTCCCCGGCACGCGCATCCCACGACGAAAACGTCAGGCTTTGCGATGTGCAAAGGCCTCGCGTTTTCATCTCGTGATACGCGCGTGTCGGGGAGAAATCCCCGGGATTTCTCCCTCGTGTGAATACCCCTTAAAGGGGCCATGAAACGAATTTTGGGCTGGGTCACTCACAAGTAGGAAAAGCTTGCAAGTGTCGCCATTGGTGGGTGTACTGACGGTTATTTCTACTTAATGATTTCATCGAACTGCAACTTCTGCGGTTTGAAACTAACACGGCAAACCGAACGCTCGCGGCGCATAAAACACCGGCATGGCCGCGAATGACGTCGGATGCAAGCTATGTCTAGTGTCTGCAGGCACGTAGTACAAGCATGTGTGACGGAGACAGGCGGCCAGGGGTGCTATGTTGCGCTTTTTGGACTTCCAGGAGACTAGAGAGAAGGAAGTGACGTCAACGACACAGCAAACGCAGATTGGGTGTTGATTTCGTTTTCTTCTGTCAACACCCAATCTGCGTTTGCTGTGTCGTTGACGTCACTTCCCTCTCCCTAGTCTCCTGGGAGTCCAAAAAGCGCAACATAGCACCCCAGGTCCCCCTGTCACAATTCAGAAGTGGAGAGTGCGTGCGCTCGATCGGCACGAGGCGCGTTCGATTTACAAGAAAGTGCAGAAAAAGTGTAGGGGCATGGCAGGCAACGTTAATGGCAGGGTCAGTGTAGTTCCGGTAGAGTGTAGTTCCTGTGTAGGAATGGTGAAATAAATGTTAGGGCGCAAACGATCTGGTGTACATTAAACATGATTAAAAAGCCCCGAGACCGCAGGTAACCAGAGATTTTTGAGTGTGCGTGCCATTACCTGCAGTTTCGGTTTTGTTTAGTCATGTAGGAATGGTGCTGCCGGTGCGCCGCTGTGCAGTTCCGCTGCGCTAGCGCCGCCTAATCGAATAAAAATGTACTTACTCCTCGTACTGTCGTCCGCTATCGTTGTCTTCTATCGTGCACCGGCCTACATCGCCGAAACGAGCGAGTGCAGAAAGTGTACGCCAGGTGTAGAAATTCTGCTACACTTTTGTAAATCGAACAGCCTGGTGCAGACCCTCAGGGCTGCACCCTCAAATCGAATGCGCTCGGTGCTACACTTCTTCACCGGTGCAGAAGGCGTAGGTAAATCGAACGCGCCTACTCAAGATGCGCAAGCACACGGGCGCCCATAGCTTTGATTTGTTCATCACCAAAACTACTCACAAAGCATAGTACCCGCGTCTCCCCCACATGTTTTAAGGCCCGTTCACACTGCCCCATTTTCTTACGTTAAGTTACGTTAAGAAATATTACGTTCAAGTCACCGGGACCTCTGTGCTTCATATTAAGCGAGGCTACCAGTCCACAGAGAAAGTATGACACGCAACATTCGAGACACGAATGTTTCGGTGACTCATACTTCGTAAGAAAATGGTGTAGTGTGAACTAGCCTGAACACTGCTAGTGCACATAACATTATATGTGTACCACCGCGCAGAAGCGGTATGTAGTTGCATGTAGAAGCCAAACTCGGCTACCTTTTCAAGTGATGTTGCATGCAAGGAAGAAAAGAACAGCGAACATGCGCGAGCGTCGACATTCTTCAAATCCTCGAGCGACTGGACATGAAGGCAGAATTGATGACTGGAACCATCGAAGAAAAAATAACCGTCGAGGAAGTCCCTGAAATCAGTGAGCGAGTTCGTCCCGTTTACTACCGTCTTTCAGAAATATCGCAGATGTATGAGAAAGCCGAAAATAATATTGGATGTTAGGGGGTCCTCACAAAGCATTGGGATAGATTTGGCTTATTGATTAGTTCACGTCAGTGCAGGTTGTAACTGACAGACGCTTCTACGACCTTATAGCTTTTAATTCAACTAGTTCAGTTAACTCTTAACTAAGCGTTCCGCTCAGCGGTTTATTTTGGTACTTCATGCTGAGTTTAACGCGTGACGATAATCCTAAAAAGTCTCCATCCTTCAGTGTATTTCATGGTTCGTTTGCGGGGTTTTCATGGCAAAACGGGCCGAATGTATCATCATTTCGAAAAGCACAGATCTTCAAAAAGTCTTCAGTTTACGGTATTCAGAAACGTACCAAAACCAATATGCTCGTGTCCAAAACTGAGTGGTCACCCGGCCCGACACCATAGCTCACTTCATGGCGATTTAATGGCGAGCTTACTCAACGCTTGCTGAGCCTGTATTCCACACCATCAAAACGTGCGTCCTTGAAAATCATAGGTAGCAAATGACGCTCGGAGCGAGTTCACATTTATTATTGCGAAAGCATTAACTGTCCGATGGAGCGAGCCGACGTCATTAACCGAGCCAAATGGCAGATAAATTCGCGAAGCTGCGGTCGGAGGCATCCCAGCTTTGAAGCCGCAGAAAATGCGACGCAAAACGGCAAATAAATGAAGCCGAAGCAGGCCGCCGCGCGTCAGTTTCAATTAGCGCCACCCCATGGCGCTGCGTGCCCGCGCCGCTAGTGCACCGGCAAAAGAAATCGGCTGGCGCGGTCGCCGATTCCGTACCGCCGATTGAACGGCGGCACGGCCGATGTCAGCGAGGCGCGGCAACTTCACGAAGACGCGCGCAAGAACGCCATTCATGCTTTCGCCTTTACAACTCATAAGAAGTGCTTAGGTGTACCTTGAGCCTTTTGTCTGCCAGGCACGTCAAGATCGGTGGTGTGATATTCACGTGGAGCCTCCTATGGAGTTTTAATTGCTCTCCGTGAGTCGGCTCCCTGTTATCACATGGCGAGTCTCAGTGCTGCCCAGACGATGTAAACGAAGTATTACTTCATTCCGTTCAAACTCTGAAAATGCTTGCTGAGTTAAGCTCACTTCGGAAATCTTCATACTGAATTTAGGCTCTAACTTCCTCCTTATCGTGTCATATTTTTAATCTTAGGGCTCATTTACGTTGTACAGTCACCTTGGCAAGAAGGTTGATTTTAAATTGTTTTCGGGGTTTGAAAAAATGCACAACATGCGCCTGTAGTTCATAAAGTGATTTATGTGGATTAATATGCCTGACGCTTTCGCAATAAAGCAACTAAACGTTTATTGAGATGTCGGCCATTCACAAATATGTATTTCTAGTATGAAAAAAATGATCAGGTTCTTGGAAGACACACATTACAAAGAATTTTATCGATTGAATTATCCTACTTATAATAAGACGATTATGTTTTAACCTATATGCCTCACCATTACATGAACCATATTTATATTATACGGAGAAGTCATCAATACGAATACCCTATATTAACCAATTCAAAAGTCTAAGGAATCCTTAATGATCGTAGTACTAAAATGATGTACTAAACTGGGTAGAGGTCGAAACGCAGACTGGCGTCTCATTCGCAACCTTCGTGCAGCCATCATCGTCATCAGGGCCCTTTTCGCCGTGATATGGATCGCCATTTCGGCCGTTGTCACGCTCACTTCGGAAAATCTGTACTCTACTCCAGTGGCCTATCCCCCAAGTGGACCCGTCCATGGCGTCGATGAGACTTTCCGGAACCATCGGCTCCACGTGTACTACGGGGTGCCTTTCATAAAGCCACCGCTGCTACAGAATCGCTTCGAACGGCTCCACAACCTGGACAAGCCATTACCCTTCCTCCTGGATGCCAGGCACCCGCCGCCGTCCTGCTTGCAGTCTTCGCGCAACGTGGGCAAACTTACAATCGACAACAGGAATACCACCGAGGACTGCCTCTACCTGAACATCTTCGCACCGGCTAGAAAGACGAGGGACAACATACGGCAGTTCCCAGTGATTGTCTTGCTGCACGGAGGCGGTTATTACTCTGGGGGCAACTCGTTCCCTTTTTACAGCGGAAGATACCTTGCGGCCATGGGCTCGGCCGTGGTCGTGGTGCCCAATTACAGGCTTGGAATCTTTGGCTTCTACCGGTCGAAACCATTGGGCCTGGAAGGGAATCAAGGCCTCTGGGACGTGTACATGGCGGTCAAATGGGTCAGCAAGAATGTGGCGGCGTTCGGTGGCAACCCCGACAGCGTGACGCTCTTGGGTCATGATGTGGGTGCCGCGCTCTTGGGTCTCTTGAATACCATCGAAAATGGTTCTTCGTTGTACCACCGGGCTATTATGATGAGCGGTAACCCCTTCATGCGTCACTGGAAAGTTCAGAACAAGGACGCCTCCAAGGACTTAGACAAGCTGCTGAAAAAGATGAGTTGCGAGAGAAGGGTCAGGCCCCTAGACTGCCTTCGCAGCAGAACCGACAACATAGTGTTGGACTCCGCGCAAGGCGACGCTAACTGGCGACTTATATACATACCTACTGAATACGACGACATAAAAGGCGACGACATTACGACGCTGAAGGAGACGGTCGTTGAAAAGGATCTAATCATTGGGGTTACGGAGAGTGAGGGCGCTCACTTCGGAAACCTCTTCCTGGAGCAGCAATCGGTCTTCGATACTTCCAACATAAGTCAAGCTGACCTAGAGGGCTATCTGAAAATTGTGGCTCGAGGCCTTGGCATCACTAACGTTGAGGAGCTGATAAAGTTCTACAAGGACGGCTACGACCCACCCGTTACTGTGATCGGCCAAGCGTTCGGAGACCTTCTCTTCAACTGTCCCATGATGCAGTTCGCGGAGGAGACATCAAAAGAGAACATTAACGTGTACATGTATGTGTTCAGGTACAAGCCTTCTTATTCGATCACCAAGCTCTCTAAAGCCACTCACATGGACGACGTATTTCTGTCGCTCGGCTACGCTTTAAATGCGTCACAAAAATCACTGAACATCACTCTAGAGGAGAGGCATCTGAGCGAGGATCTACTCAAATTATGGACGTCTTTCGCTACCACAGGGTGAGCAATATTTGTTTTCATGTTCTTGATTTTTTTTTTTTCAAAACGTTTACGTGTGAAACATTTACTTTTTCAAATTACCTGCGAATTTTAGAACTTTTACAACTTTCATTATAGTGACTTTCTTGCTGTGTGCAGGTATTGTGCTTTAGATCTTAAGAATATTTTTAACTTCTAGCTCGTATTTAAACATTTAATATACAGTGACGACATTCTATTTATAACAGGACTGCACACCACAAAATTGTGTATTAAATTACGTTAAAATTACTCCAGCACCAAGGGAAATGCTACTGGCGACGACAGGTTCGGGTTTCGCCACCTTGTGGAATGTTTTCACAACCCCGAGTGAAAACATTTCAACTTCTTCTGCTGGTGCAAGCACGTGCAATGTCAAGCTTCTATGCACGATGAAAATTTAAGCCTAACCGCGTGGGTAGCACGTTCACTACCCATAGTGAGAAAAACAGAAGCTAGCCTAACGAGCTTCTCACCGCGAATAGGAACATAGGTTCACACGTTGCAGCAACATGCACTTTGGCTCCCGATTTTGCGGCTGCGACGTTGAGAGTTTCCACCACGCTTTTTCTGCCGCACGAGCCGCATCGCAACTGAGAAAAAGTAAAATCGCACCATGTGAATCTTGCTTTAGCTGTATAAAAGATTCTAAGTGAACGCACGTCCAAAGTGCAATTTGTTTTAGCTGTTTGCTTTAGAACAGTTACTGCTGCAGACGCCAGCATATACAGCGCGTGTTACCAGCCGCAGCACGCCCTCTGGCGCTTGCAACGTATTCAAGTTTGTGTCGCGGGCTTTGTCTTCTGTAGTGGTATTGGTTTGCCGACCGCCAACAACGAGACGCCAATTTTGCGTGCCGCTTTGTCACTCGCTGCAAGAACACAATCCCAGTATTAGTCTTGTGGATATTGGACGCTTGCTTGTGAACAGAACCTTGTTTCTAATGCGCCGAGAAGCTGGAGGAGAGAAAGAGACGAGAGAGCGCGTGGACGTCAAATCGCCGAGCTCTGGTTTCAATGATTATAGTGGGTAGACCTAAAGCTAGCTGCCTTTGTTTCCACTGCACGCGTCGAAGGCGTTAGAACGCGGAACCCCGGTGTCCGGCGTTCGGCTCCCACATTCTAACGCGTTCGACGAGTGCAATGGAGAAAAAGGAAGCTATGCGGAAAGCAAGTCGTCTGCTTCTTGCGTATGAGGCGTGGTGACGTCAGGACGACCCCAAGCTCCGATCGGCTTTGATTGAAAGGATAGTGGGTATGACCTCAATGCTAGATGCCTTGATGTCTACCCACTATTTTTTTAATCAGCTAATAAGAGCTCAGTGTTCTGACATCACGCGACCCCTGTGCAAAAAGCGGACGAACTTGCGCTTTGCATAGCTTTAGGTCTACCCACTAATCATTAGGACCAGAGCTCGGTGTTCTGACGTATTCGCGCGCGTCCCCTCCTTTCCCTCAATTTCTCGGCGCACGCTCTATTTACTCTTCGGCTACCTCAAAGGTCCAGGGGCGTTTTTTGACAAAGTCACTGGAAGGATCCAGGGACTTCAATCGTGGAGGGTCAGCCGATGATTTCATAAACGAACAAGTTGTATGTTGAGGGCATTGGCCCTCAATATGCAGCTTGTTCGTTTCAAACTCTCAATATGCAACCTGCTCTTCAAATTAAACACCCTCGCGGTGTTTTCTTTCTTTTTCTTTTTATTTTGCTTCTTTGAAGAGTTACATAAGCACAATAATTATATAAACACAATAATTACAATTTTAGTAAAAAGCAGTTCCACTTACATATAAAAAAATAATGCGCGTTTTCCGTAATGCATTTATTTTTTACAAGGGCAAAATCAGGCCGGTTGGGTGATCCGCGGTGTAAGTTCAGCCCAACGCGAAGCCGAATAAGATTTTCGTAAATTCTCTCCATCGAGTCACCTCAGCTTCTGCCTGTCAAGTGAAACGACCTTCGTTGTTCGCCGCTTTACTTTCAAGCCTTTAATAACGCGCGGCCCTTGCCTTTCGACAGATCTCCTGGCGCCCTGAGAAATGTCACGTGGACCAAGTACACTAAGAAGGAAGCCAACTATCTGAGCATCGCTCCGGTTCCGCAAATGAACAATGGATTCCGCAAAGAAGCCTGCGAAAAGGTGCCTCGGCTCCGGACCAATGGGCAAATAAAATAATCTGCCCCGTACTTGTTCTCGTCTGCCGGTTCGTGACGCAGCAGTGACGCTTCCGTAGACCAAAGAAATATCTATGGACGGTTTACGGAAAGGGAGCGAGAGAGGAGTGGGAAAGGGCTGCTGCGTGCTTTCTTCCTTGCTGGGTTGGGACGAACGGGAGACAGACCCGGATGGCGGTCATCAAACTTTGTTTCATCGGACAGCGTCACTTTTCCATGTAAACTGCAGAAGAAAAGGTCAGCTTCCGCCCCAACCCAGCGCGGCCACAGCATCCGACGCATTCCTGGAGACGCTGCGGTACTCATAATATAGTGCTGCTCACGAAAAAAAAAAAATTTATCTGTTGAGAGCATGGTGGAAGAAACACATTTCGGTGATGACTCCCTGTCTGACACGGCGAGTACATTTTGTTCAGCGCACCGAGCGCTTCACTCGCACGGAGATAGATGGCGCCCAAGTACGGGGTGCCTCCCAAACCAACCGCTCTGGTTGTTTCTTCCAGCGGTAGACCCGCATTCCCCTCGCTAATCGCTTCTTGTTTTACCTCACCGCCGCTACGCAGCCACCAAGTCGGAGTCCGTAAATCTGTGTTCTCTTCCTCCTTCTTCTTTTTCGGGTTAAGGCTCACCTTCGTGCACGGTGGTGGCACCTGTGATCGACACAGCACCAAAGCAAAATACGAGACAAGCCACTGGCCACACTACACCGTGGACAAGGCGAGCACGCTACGCCGCCGACACCGTGGCCGCCTAGGAGGGACCTTTTACTTCAGCGCCCTCCGCGGCGGCGCGGAACTAACTACTCCTGGTTCGAGTAGTTAGTTCACCTACCTAAATGAAGGAACACATCACCTAAATGTGTTTCTTCCACCGTGATCGGGAGTTTTCACTGGATACCATATTTGTGGGTGCTGTTTATAGCGCGTGCTCAGAACCAGCTCACATTAAAAGGTTGCTAAGACCGGTGATTTTGATGGTGTAGAATCCATGTTGCAAAAGAACTGTTGAAACTCGCCTTCGATCAGTACGCGCTGAGCAGTCGCGCACACAGCTATGGCTTCCAGTGGACACTCCTTATGCACGTTTAAAAGAAAGGTTCCTTTGCGCTGCCATTATGAGCGATGCTGGCGCCGCGTAAGGTTTCCGCTGTGTTGTGGTGAGCTAGGGGCACGTCACTGAGGAGGGCGAGGGCAAGATGGCGGCGGCAGCTGCGTCACCCCAACCGACGGCCAGCGTTCGCGACGCACTTCCTGTTTCGAAACGCAGGAGGAGGTATCCACACAGAATCCTAGCATCAACAATTGTAGGGGGCATGTTTAAAGGGGCGGTGCAACGATAATCAATTAGAATGTTTTTCACTTCACACGAGCTTACTGTAACTACAGTTCAGACTTGTACACGTTACTGAAAAAAAATAACCGATTACAATTACAATTACAGCCTTCAAAAAGTAATCGAAAAATTACTCTAAAGTAATCGATTACTTCCCACGTTACTTTTCCTCCAACTTTTTTAGAGCGCAGCTCTTGGGCGCCCGTTTCCGGCTTGAGCGGCGTCGCCGTCACCGTCGGAGTCGCCGTTGCCGTTGGCGCCACCGCGCGGTGCATTATGGAAAACGTCTCATAATGCACCGCGGCGACGCGCAAGTTGCGTTATGGGACGTTTTCCATAATGCACCGAGCGGGAGGGAGGGGAGGGAAGGAGGAGGGAGAGGAGAGGAGGAGGAGGGGGGGGGGAGGCAACGAGCACAGGAGTAGTAGATGAAGAGTGAGGAGGAGAGGGTACGGATGAGGGGGAGGGGCGTACCGTTTCCTCTGTACTTTCCCCTCCTCCTCCTCCTTAAAAGCTGCGCTCTAATTCGGCGTTACAGCGAGTTGTACACGTCTATATTTTTTTTAGAGCGCAGCTCTTATGCGCCCGTTTCCGGCTTGAGCGGCGTCGGCGGCGGCGTCGCCTTCGGCGTAACCGCGCAGTGCGTTATGGGAAATGTCCCATAGTGCACCACGCGAGGGCTACGTGACCAGGGTCACGTGGCCATGGAAGAGTCACGTGACCCCCGCGCGGTGCATTATGGGAAATGTCCCATAATGCACCTCGTGAGGGTCACGTGACCAGGGTCGCGTGACCGCACGAGGGTCACGTGCTCCCGCGTGGTCACGTGACCCTGGTCAGGTGACCCCTTGAGGTCACGTGACCCCTTTGAGGTCACGTGACCATCCCTGAGGTCACGTTGTTGACCTCAGGGATATTGTTGAACACTGTATTGTCGGCAAAACGCCAAAGAAAAGGAATGCGGTACTCTAAAAGCGTAGCTTATTTAGTGACTCTACGGGCAACGAGTCTCCCAGCTGTAGATGGAAAATTTAGCCAGTGCAGTAAAACCGCTAGCCTGGGGCCTTTAACGTACACTACGCAGTAGTGATACATGACCGCACGCCGGTACGATGCTCATCCAGATCGAAACGGGCAGGGGTGGGGATGAGCATTCGGGTAGTGGCCCGTATTCCATCGCCGCAGTGACGACAATAGCGGAACCATAACAATGTCCGGAACTCAGCGCGTGTCCTGTGTCTTGCCAACACCAGCGCGTGATTATGACCAACTTTCGCGGCATATAATCGGCTCCCGATCACGTGGCCACTTGTTCTGGCTGCGAGTTTAGGGGCTGTAGGATGCTCGTATTTATTTTCTCTGCGACATTGATTGCGTGTGGTGAAAAAGGAATGGGTGTTTCACAGGTGATTAACGCGGGAATTTGTTCTTATAGACCGACACGCGGAGAGGCTCTGTTTACCAACACGGCCGGAAGGCCGCGCATGCGCGGTAGCTGTGTGGGCAAAAGCGGCCCGGCTCTCCGTGTTTTGGCCATTGCGTTGTGTGGCGTGCGCTCGTTGTTGACGTTGTAGGGACGCTTCTAGCTTTATTTGTATGCCGTATTTCTTGTCAACGTATGTCGTATGCTATGCCCGACTATTTGTGCTCGCTACCCGAGCCTGTACGGCAGCGGTACCGAAACAAACTGTGCGTAGACGGCGTTGCCTACAATGATCCGTACGCCGTAAACAAGGCCTGCTGGACTTCCGACGTGAAGTTGCTGCCACCGAAGTCGACGGCTCACGTCGTTGTTTATTTAGTTTTTTCACCAAGCCAGTTCACGGCCGGCACGGTGCAGGCGTACAAGTCTTTCGAGGCCTACGACTCTACTTCGAGTCGATCTCCGCACTGCCAGCGGAATCCGCAGACTGGGTCTGCGGAAGTGTATTTAATAATTGATTAAACACACACAGCGTCTTGAAGTCAAGGTATGATATTTTTCCTACCCTCATGACCACAAGGCATGACGAGCGGTAACGCTTTGTCCGTTCAGTCTTGGCGGTAACACCCCACAAGCAACGGCGTTACCAGGAACGCGTTACTTTTTTCATGAACGTAGCAACCTACTCGTTACTTTTTCGAAACAGTAACGGGTAACGTATTTACGTTACTTGTTACTACTTCCCAAGTCTTAAAGAAATTACACTTCAATTTTTTCCGTGTTTTTAGGCGGCAAGCCATGTTTTTTTTTTTTGCGTTTTTCTCGTGCGTATTTAGGTGAAACCGTAAAAAGTGATAAAGTAATTATGTTCAGTTTCTGCATGAACGTAATGTTTCTTGATACATGAGCTTATGCATACCTGTATTGTCAAAACCGTAAAACGTGTTAAATCATAATTTATGAAGTTACCGAGAAGTAACGTGCGTTACTTTTTTTCGGTAGCGGTAGCGCGTTCCTTTTATGTTTAGGTAATGTAGCTCGGTATACGCGTACCTTTTATTTGCAAGTAACGAGTAACGTATTTCGTTACTTTTTTTTCGGTAACGCCTGCAACACTGCCATTCTGTCGCCGATCCCCATCTGCTGGGTAGCACGGATGTAGCGAGCCTCCGACGAGCGCTTGGCCGTTGCTTTGTGCGCGAACACCGTGGGAACAAAATCCGGGTGGTCTTGATCAGACGACGGTTTTCCTGCACATAAGCAAGCCTCGAGACGGAGATTGAAATGGAACCCGCACTTGCATTCAAGAAAGTGCTTGCTGCACAAATGGTCGTTCGCGCGAGGCGACCATTATTTTTGACCCACGGATATTATCCACCTTTCAGAGTGCCGGGAACTTGTGGAAACTTACTCGCCTACTCTTCTTGTAGGATGGTGATGTTGTTTTAATCAAATAATCCAAACGAAGAGGTGCGATGCAGGGTGATAGGTTAGTATCCCAGGAGATGGGACAGCTGTATCACCCTGCTGGGAAGGGGGGTGAAAGAGGAACAGAGGTGAGGAAGGGAGGGGAGTAAGTATACATCATAGTTGGGTTGTGATTCTTCTTGATGACGACAAATAGTCAAGGACCGCTCGACAAACACTTGTTCGCACTGCACGTGATCCAGTTGGAAATAAAACCTTTGTCGTATTCGTAGAAGGTATGGCGGCTATGTTCACATTTCCAAGGAAGCTTTCACGACTGTCTGCAAGTAATGAGCACGTCCATAAAATATGGTCAAGGTCTTCCACCACGTTACAGTCTTCACATAGCGGGGAAAAGGAGCTTTTGGGTGCTGCCCTTCCCCGTTAATTGCACCGAAATTACATTTCGGTGCACGTAATGAGAAAACAGCTTCGCGGCATGCTAAAATGCTATGACGCCCATGCGAAACGTGCGCCCTTTTGCCCACACCAGCCGGCTCCGGCGCGATCGCAGCGCCGCCGCAGCTTCGTGACGTCAAGCCCGCGTGTCGGTCTATATCCTTCGCATTCTCTGTTCCAGCACGTCGTGAAGCCAGAGCTGCCGCGAGCGCGGCCATCATTGACGCGATAGCCATGCGGCTTCTGTTGCGTTCTGATAAGCGCCTTGAGACTTTAGATATTTTAAAGCGCAGCTCTTAAGGCCCGTTCACACAGTTGCGTTCGGAGCGACCACTACGCTTACGAACGAATGCAACCGGTTGGAACGACGAGTTATCATA